TGCTTCTTTGTCAGATTTGTCTTTTATCAATGTCAATTCAGGTGATTCATGAATGTTTTCGAATTTTGAGTTTATTTCCATCACTTCTCCATTTGAAATTAAAACAACTTAGTTCTTTTAAATGATATCTCTGAACTTTCTGATAGTTTCTCCATACATATCTTATTGTATTCTTTACCATATAAATGTTATTAGCATTAGAGATAAATGTTTATACATTATAATCAGTTAATGCTAACCTATTATATTATAGTCTTTTATTTATTTTTCTTCTATCAATGGATGTTATTATTAAAATGATATGCAGTTCCTTGAATTTATACAATAATGTTAATTTTTAATCTATCATATATTTTTAAATTCTTATTATTCCTAAACTGGATAGTTTTAATCTACGGTAATTACTATTTTTTACCGACATCAACTTAGACTACTTTTAGATGTTGAAAAGAGATGATAAATTTTAAATTGAAAGTTAAATTTATATAATGTAATGTTCTAATATCAAACATTTCCTCTTTCTTTGCCAAAATTTCAGCTTTTTTTGTGATTTTGAACTTTTGAGGGTGTGTTTTATAATTTTTAAACTTTGATAGTATTTTATGAAAACTGTTAATTATAAGTTGGGTGCTTATAATTCATATTTCATGTATTGGTGGTAAGTTTTTAAATGTTAGAATATTTCTTGTAACTGTGAAAATTTGAAGGTATTTTTACAATTACTAAAATTTTGGGTTGTTTTTAAAAAATTAAATTTTCAATGATCTACTGATAATTTCTAAATTTGATGTGTACAGGATATAAGTTTTGAAATTTCAGGATTTTTTGTAATTTTTTACTTTTGGGAGAGTTTTTGTATTTTTTATAACTTTAAGGTTATTTTTTACAAATTTTAAAATTTTAAATGTTTAATGGTAATTCTTGGAATCCATCTATATTGTTGCTAAGTTTTGAAATCTCTAAATTTTAGGATGTTTTTTTTATAATTTAAACTTTTGAGGTTGTTTCTATAATTTCTAAAATATTGGGGGTGTTAATTATAAATTTTAAATTTTTAGATTTCTTGTTTGTTTATAAGTTTAAAAAAGTCAAGGTGTTTTGTGTAATTTTAAACTTTTAAGGATATTATATGCAATTTTTGAAACTTTTGGATTTTTTTATAATACTTCATGTATTATAATATGTTATCCACGTATAATTTCTTTATCTTATTTTTTTCTAAATCGTTGAGTTATAGGTAGTTAATATGGAGTTAATATAAGATATAATTCGTATTTGGATAGATTAAGATTTAAATAAAATATTTAAAATAACTTTTTTTAATTGTTGAGCTATAGATAGTTTACGTGGAATTAGATAAGATATGATTAAAATTTAAAAAGATTAAGATTTTAATGAAATATCCAAAATAGTGAAGGGTAATATTGACAATGAAATTTTTTTCCTAAACTCGTGCTTTTAAAAGGAGTATGATATGATATGATATGATATGATTTCTATATTTAAATATATGGCTATGAGATTTTCAATCATAGATAGTTATATTTTGATTAGAATTACATAATCTTTGAACATTAGATTTTTTAATTATATATAGTTTAATTTGATGAGGATTTTTGGATGAATATAAGATTAGATGTCCACATGCCATCTTCTGATAGGATGATAATTTAATTTTATGAAGATTCTCAGGTGAATATAAAATTAGACATCCACATGCCAGAAGTTAGGATAGAGGGACGTATATGTACTAGTTGGATTGCACGTGCAGTGCACGTGGTAAAATTTTTATCATTTATTATAAAATTTTAAATTTATTTAGGGAAATATTTGTTATTAAATTATTGAATGTAAGCAATGGGTCAAACATATAGACATAAAATAAAGTCATTGGACCTTACACGACGTCAAACCGAATAAGTTGAAATCTTTTATACATTTGGATATAAGAACTAAGAATCACACTAATAACCTCATTGAATGAATGAGATATTTGGATTGAACATTAAATCTTTTGTGTCCTATAACAAAATAATATGAGCGACATTCAAGATAGAATACAATAGAATTTGTTCAGCAAGCGCAATATGTTTTCAAGAAAATACAGGTCAAGTACGGACCACCTTATATTCAACATAGACAATTGTCTAGCATCGGTTAACCACTTGTCTTCTTAAGAGAAAGGATTGAGTCTTGAAAGAAGACCCCAACCGAGCAATACATTCTTAAAAAAATGGGTGATTATAATCTACTTACAGATAGTCAGCAAAATCCCCAACCAAAGAATAAAATGAAGAGTATCTCTCATTACATCACACCAAAAAACATAAAATTCCCTAGCTGTATACATCAAAAACCTATCAAAACAACTCCTAACATACTCACACCACAAAAACCTATCAAAACAACTCCTAACATACTCACACCAAAAAATTGGAACATTAGCAACATTTAGCAACAAAATATAGAGCTTAAAAAAATCTCCATTCACCAAAGACCTGACCTCAACTAAATAGCATCAAATTGTTGATCTCCTAGCAGCTCCCCATGTCTCTTACAGACCTGACCTCAACTAAATAGCATCAAATTGTTGATCTCCTAGCAGCTCCCCATGTCTCTTATTGTTTTGTCATGGTTTTATGGTCATAGGAAAGGCTAAAACAATAAGAAGGACATATCAAGATATATAACCTTCTGAACACAAAGTTAAAGGAACATGAAACAGGGATGCATAGGGAATTAGAGCAGATCACCTAAGTATTGATTGAATCATTGATAATGAACAAAGCAATATAGAAATAATAGGGAATTAGAGCAGATCACCTAAGTATTGATTGAATCATTGATAATGAACAAAGCAATATAGAAATAAATCTCTCCTATAAAGAACATTCTTTTTAAATCATTGATAATGAACAAAGCAATATAGAAATAAATCTCTCCTATAAAGAACATTCTTTTTAAACAAATGCCCATTACATCTACAATATTTCTTACATTATAATGTCTACCAACATTTCTTACATTAACATCTATAATATTTGTTATGTTATAGAGTCTATCAATAGAATAATTAAGCTAATAGACGCAAATGTGTTTTGTCTAACTATCATTCTCTAAGTTATCATATGACTTGTAGCCTATAAGCTTAATAATTTCCTTTAGCAATTGCATTATCAATTTTTATATGTATCATGAAATTAGTACTTTCCTTATAGTAATTCCAATTGACATTTGAGCTCATATTTTGCTTACATGAATTAAGATATTGTAAGATATTTGATAATGTCCATTTAGTAAAAGTTTACTCTCTAATAGGAATTTCCAAATTTCAGAATCTTTAGTATATAACAATTGAGTCAATTACAATTATTATTAAACAACTAAAAAAGGAAAGGGAAAAAAAATAAAGCTCTCTAGACAAAATATATTAAACTACTATATCTACTTATAGTTCTAACAAATGAGCGAAAAGGATATAGCCTATGATGATTTGTTGAAGGTAAAAAAGGTTAAATTATTTTTTTTAATTCGAGCCCAATGTATTTATGATTATAATAATATACCATTATATCTATGAATTTTAAGGTATATGCAAAATTTCACAAGGTTCAAATCTCTCTAACCCAATTTATTTTATTTCATCAAGTACTATAAATGCACATTATCACTTACACTAATATGTACAGTCTTAAATCTTTTAACTTAATACATAAGCATGATTGACAAAATCTTGTGGTCAGTTATGCTCAACAAGCTCATGACCAAAGATAAAGTTAAAGCTTGGGGAGAACATATGATACACACGGTAACCATTGTGGGCTCATAATAAAACCGTTGAGCATTTGTTCTTTAAATGCTTATTTTCAGCTCAAATATGTGATCAAATACTATCCTATATGAGGCTACAAGGAAGACATAAGTCTTGGATTAGATTCCGACCTTGGTATAAGACTCTAGAGGGAAGAAAAGGTCCAGGTTCAAGGCATAGAAGAGCTCTGCTTGTAGCAACTATATACTATATTTAGCAGGAACGAAACTGCAGACAATTTAGAGGCATTAGCAATTCCCTCGCAGGATTACTCAATAAAATTCACAGCTTTATGGCCTGCAAACTTGGTGATTTTAAATGACACTAACTTATATTTGCATATTGTTCTCTAATGCAGCATTGTGATGTTTTTTCTTGCTGTTGGAAGCCTACTTTTGTTATACTTTGGAGTGCCTAAGTACCCTTGTACACCTGATAATCAGTGAAATATTCTTTACCTATGAAAAAAAATCATCACTCAATTTGGCACTCAATCACATGTCGCATTCCTATCTCACACAACTTGGATGAAGTATTGTCTTCTTAGTGATAATGCTTCAGAGTATTATGGATTAGCAAGATGTATTGCAAGCTTGCAACTTTGCAAGAAGCCTTAGAGCTTGAGTAAAATAAAGAATTTTCACTTTCAAATGGCCATGAAAGATTAACATAGAATCACATTGCCATACTAACCTAAAGCCAATGAGTCTTACATTTAAGCAAAATAAAGTTCAGTGGGATAGCAATGCATCTAACATACGAAGTGTAATTATAAGCAAAAGTAAGAGATATTCTCCTTAATTTTTAAATAGGAATAAAAATTATGAATGATCATTCTGATATCAAATAGTTACTTAAACCTAATCATAACACAATCATACAATTTAAAAAACAAACATTGGTAATGTAAGTCTTACCCTTGATTGATCCACCTCTGGATCTACCAGGGAAACCACTCCTGCGAGTGTTTCAAGTGTTGTCCCTGCAACCGTACAAACATGAAAAGTGATCAGTTTGATCAGGCACAACAATAGTTGTACTTAGAAGTTACAACATTAACATGAGACGATTTCCAGCCAATCAAAGTGAAGCAATAATTACATAAGATATAAACTAGTAAATGTAGCATCTAGTGTTAAGTTATTTTCAACATAGATACCAAGAAAGGTAAAAGATTTCAGTACCAGTAACATAAGTGCTGGATTCAGCACTGCTAGAATCATATCGCCATCTTCCATCACTTTGACTAAGCGACTGAGGAAATAATGGTTTAAGTTATACCTCTTCACTAAATGGAAAAGTAGCAAAAAAGAAAAAGAATACATAGGAGTTGAAAGCTTATCACCTTTATGGAATCAAAAACACTACTGGCATCTGACAGTGACACATCAAAACCTTGATTCTGCATCAGAAAAATGAAAATATGTTTTTTATGTTTATAAAGTTTCAAATAATAACAGAACACATTGAACATCAAAGAGAAGGCAATTAAGGATGTAACTATATCAATAGAAATAGAACTCGAGCATAATAAACTTGTGTATCAGCTGAAATAATAACAAACAATTTAGTACAAAACAAACAGTGCAATGTCTAATTTGATCTCACAGGATATTTTCGGTAAATAGTCATATACAACACATTATACGAAAGAATATACCGAGGTCATAAGTAATCACAAGTTCTTCATCAATCTCAGGGCTCCACTCCTCAACATGCAATCTCTCTGCCAAATTCCCCCACTCATAAAACTCAAAGAAAAACAAATAATTTGGAGGCCTCGCATGAGCAACAACTAACTTAGCCAATCAAGGATGATCCACTTCACTTCACGCTAAAAAAACCAACATTAAAATTATCCATATTGGTCAACATGGGCACTCCCAAAATCCCAACTTTAAGCGAAAACCACCTAAAGGAGGGTCAACATGGGCACTCCCAAAATCCCAACTTTAAGCGAAAACCACCTAAAGGAGTGTAAACTTTCTTACCACCACAGTTGAAGTTCTCTGTGGAAAACTTTCTTACCACCACAGTTGAAGTTCTCTGTGGAACTTGTCGAGGTCGTCTGAAGAGGAAAGGACAGTTTTTTTTATGGTAACTCTCTGGCCATCGAGCCTCACATCGTAGACGGTGCTTTCAGAACCTTTTGTTTGGTGAAATCAAAGGAGAGTCTCAGAATGGACTAACAGAAAATTAGAGAAAAGACATAGGGGGTTTGGTGAAATTTTACCTTTAGCGATAGGGGAGAGGAGAGAGAAGGAAGAGGGAGGGAGATGGAGGGGGATTGACTTGCTCGAGCAACTCTCTTCAAACAAAATCAGTTGACTAGCATTCCTGTGCAATTCCCCACAATTCTCTTCAACAAAAAGAAGATGTATGGGTAATTCAATATCAGCATAAAAATTTTGGGGAAAAAACAATTTATTTTTTTAGCTAATAAAGATACATTACTGGTTTTGGCATCAATCTAACATCTAAGAATGCTGTTCAATCTCAATGCATGAAACACATCCTTCGTTGTAGAAGAAGACGAACCGAGTTTTTCCACAACAAGCGGGCATGTTGCCAGGCTACTTTCGGAAACCTTTTTAGAGTCCCAGAATCCGAAATGTTCTCACTGTTCCATGCTATATTTAGCCTCTTCATTTCGTAACAAAATTTTCCATTAATTCTTAAGTAAAAAAACTCATAACTTGTGACAATTAGTTGGAATTTATTGGGTGTGATGGTTTTTGATTTTTAACTTATTTTATAAATTCTTAATAATAATGAAAAACACCTCATAAATTTGCCCATTAATTAGATTCAAACTAACTTTGTTATATTTACAAAAGTTGAAGGGTAATTTGGGATAGGAAAAGTTTTTCTAGTACTCCATCTTTTAAAGGGTAGATATATATTCATACTCTCTTTAAAAGCACGAGTTCAGATAAATCTTTCTATAACCAATATTACCCTTGATTTCTTTTGAATATTACATTGTTATCCTAATCTATTCTAATTATATTCTCTCTTTGAATTGTTAACCAAATGATTTATTCTATTCATAATGAGATTTAACATGTTATTGGATACAATAGATACATTTCATATAATTAAAATCCTTTACTTATTTCAGTTCATAGAGAAATCAAAAAAACATATACTAATCAACAGGTAAAAATTTTTGGACTTTGTAAAAAATATTCTCCAAGTTTTTTTGATTACAAAAAGCCCCTACAAATTCAAACTTTTATTAAAGTATTTTAAAAATTATAAATTTTACTTATCTCAATTCGGTGAGAAATCTAAAAAATATATGCTAATTATAAACTAAAAGTTTTTTGATTTTGGAGAAAATATCTTATAAGTTTTATAAATTACAAAAACACCCCTAAAAGTTTAAAATTTATAAAAAAACACCTTCAAAATGTCAAACTTATAAACATACTAAAAACCTACAAATAACACAAACAACCTTCAAATTTTTATGAAATTTGTAATACACACTCTGAACTTTTTACAAATTATAAAATAAAACCCTCAAAATTATAAAATTTACAAAAATCATGATAATTTCTAACCTAACAGTACATTTAAAATATCCCTTACATAATTTATTATTTATAAAAAAACATCCTTAAAGTTTTAAAAATTACAAACAAATATTTAAAATTTAAAATTTATTTCATTAGTAAATTGAAAGTATAATAAGTATTAATAGTTTATAAACAATTTACAATCTGTAGAAATTCCTATAAGTTTAAAAAACTTACAAAAAGTTCTAACATTTTATAATTTAAAAAAAAATCCATGAGAATTTCTAACCTATAGACACTAAAATGAATATGCAAAATTACTAACAACCCTTAAAAATTAAAATTTTGCAAAAAATAGCATACACCTTTTAAAAGTATAGGTTTTGAAAAAAACTTAACATGGTAAATATTACCCATAACTTTTTTAAATAATATAACTAATTAAAAATCTAATAATTTAAAATTTATAAAAAAATACCCTTAAAATTTAGTACATTGGAAATTACCCCTCCAAAGTTTAAAAATTTTCAATGATTTTTTTATAATTCCTTGATTTTAATGTACTGTTTAATAGTTTTGTGTATTTGTAAATTACAAAATTTAGAGTGCTTTTAACAATTTTAAAACTTTTAAGGGGTTTATTTTGTAGTTTTCTAAATTTTTATTATATTTTTAGTGTACTGCATATATACATCAATTAATGATGATATTGAAGAATAAGTCGTTCTTAATATTATTAGACTATAGTTAAGTGTGCACATCACTATTCCTAGACAATATAGTTTATATATGTAAAAATTTTTAAACAATCTACGTAGTGGTTAAAAAGATATTGACTTTAATATACTATTTTTTATAAATTATATTTAATGTGAATCCACCATATAATTTTGACCGTGGTTATTATAATTTTAATACGTTTGATTGATTGACTATATACGTATATAGGTCATAGGTTACTTCTCTTTCTCACATGAGCTAACATTTGGGGCTTAATAAATTAAATTATTACTTTTAAATTCAATATAAAGAGGAGCTCTAATAATATTTATTTGTTTACCTACAACATGAGACAATCTCAATTCCTATTTTTTCCTGGAGATTTGTTCCATAGTTATGCGTATCAAATTAGTAACTAAAATAATAATTATTTATGCTTAAATTAGGATGGTTGCAGTTGGTCACTCACTATAAAATTTTTATGAATATATATACCTTATTTTCTATAGCTATCTGCGGTGCTCATGTATATTTTATAAATTAGTTCTTAATTTGGCATATTAAATTATTTTTCCTTTGTAGAAATTTTTTCTTTGACTTTTAGACTGTGTAATCACTATATCACCATTCTAGCATAGAAAAGACATCACTCTAAATGGTTTCAAAGCTAATGATTGAGTTACGCTGAAGTATATACTATTGTTACTATGTGTATATAATTTTTTAAGAAAATCATGTTAATACTTTTTAAATAGAAGAGAATATTCTAACCTTTGATATTATAAAAATTAAATATATCCAATTGACTAATTAGCAAAAAAGAACTTACATCAGAAAAGTGTGAATAATAAGATAAAGATGAAAGGTAATGGCATTGCCAACAGTACTACAAATAGCAAATATAAAGTTAACCTATTTTGTGGAGCCTAACTACTGGTTATAAGTATCGAGGTTTATATATATATACTTTATAATTTATTAAAAAGAGTCATATAATCTTATATAATAAAATTGATTTAATATTGAATAGTAATATCATTATTAGAAAAAATTCTTTATGAATTGATATGCTCTTTACGATATATAAGCTATGTACTCTAAATTCTTGCGTCTTTCATAGAGCCAAAAAGTTTGAATATGAGCCCCTAACATGTTGCTCTCACAACAGCAAAATCCACTTAGAAGATATGGATATTCTAGATGAGTTATGTATCCTATATACAATACAATTGTCCTAGATAAATGTGTTATAATAGCATTTTTTATTTACATCGTTTGGGGTAAGATTTGATCGGGACCTTGAATCAAAATCATTTTATATTTATAGCACATGACAAAATATATCATAATCTCCCTGTTTTAATTTCGTAAGAAAATAATTTTATTTTTTCAGTTTTACTTTTATTGTACAGAGAATGAGCTATAAAATTGAATGAGAATATTATATAATATAAATATGAGCAAAACATCAACTAAAAGTTAACATGAATATGAGTCAACCCACAACTAAAAGTTTAATAGACATATTGCAAGTAAATTCATATACAAAATTCTTTTGTGTATTGAATGACCACCCATCTTTTAAAGACTTAAAGATATTAATAAATAAAGATGTTGTACTAAATTAATGTGTTTATAACTCATAAATAGTAGATCACATAGCGACAGTCTAGGTTGAAGGAAATAATGATAATATATTATTTGAGAGAGAGATTATTGAGTTGATGATCAATCCCCTTAAAAACTTTATTTTTACTCTATTTTTATCAATTTAAATAATCATGATATTCAATCACATGCATTACACGTGCATCTCAACTCATGATATTTAACCACGTGCATTGCAAGTGCATCTTAACTAGTATATATATATATGGTCAATATTATCCTTTACTATTTTAAATATTACATTTATATCTTAATCTATCTCAATCATAATTATAGCATATCCTAATCCTATGTGAATTATCTATTCAACGATTTAAAAAAAAATAATAATAAAATATATAAAACATCTTTATGGTATTAATTTGTTAAAATAAAGAAATTGTACACAACTAACATACTATAACTCATAAAGTATTGCAAAAAACCCCTAAAAAGTTTTAAAATTGCACAAAATACTCTAAAAAGTTTAAAATTATAAAAACCATCCCGACGTTTCAAAACATAAAACAAAAAACCCGAAATTAAGAAATTAATAGAAGTTTGTGAAGAATTTAAAATTTGTAGTTAACACCTAAAAGTCTTAAAAATTATAGAAATACCATCAAAAGTTCAAATTACTAACAAACACCCAAAAATTCTAAAATTTCAAAACTTACAAACAACATCAATGAATTCAAAGGATTACCATGATGCACCTAAAAACTTCTAAATTTTCAAAACTTAAAAGCAACAAATATGAAACCAAGAGCTCAATGGTAGTCTTTGAAGAATTTAAATTTTCTAATTAACATCTCTCAATGTCTCAAAAAATATAAAAACACCCTTAAAAGTTTAAATTATGAAAAACTACCCTAAAAATTTAAAATTTAAAAATAACAAAAGATGAATTCAAGAGATTATCCTCAGGCGCCTAAAATTTTAAAAATTTCCAAAATTAACCTCAAAGTTACAAAAAATTATAAAAAAAATCCTTCAAAATTAAAAAAAATAAAAACTATAAAATTTCAAAAATTATAACCAATACACATCAAATCTGGAAACTGCTAGTAGACCACTAAAATTTAAGTTTTTTAAAAATTAATCTAAAGTTTTAATAATTACAAAAAGCACCCTCAAAATTTTAGAGTTGCAAGAAATATCCTTACATTTAAAAATTATCACCAACATATAAAACGTA